CCTAACCCTAACCCTAACCCTAACCCTAACCCTAACCCTAACCCTAACCCTAACCTTAAGTTAAATCACGCTTCTGTCGGCGCGCTGTTGTCGTGCGGTTTTGACGGTGCGGTTTTGTCACCGCACTTTAGTCACACGCGCTTTAGTCTACCACAGTTTTGTGGTGGAACACCCCTTACAGGCTCCTTAGGAATGGGGTGAGGTCAACAGTAGACCTTCTAAGATTAAAGTTTTGTGGGTTTGGGGATGAAACCACAGACTCAGGTAGTGTATTCCAGGCATTGACCACTCTGTTGCTGAAGTCATATTTTCTGCAATCAAGTTTGGGGCGGTTTACCTTGAGTTTGTATCTATTGTGTTGTATCTATTGAATATTGAATCTAATTGATATCCTCCATATCAATTAGTTTCCAGTCTCTATCACTCCCAGGAATACACCGGGAGTCCATATTACACTGTTAAATTCAATCAGTACCTATATGAACAGCCTGTAATGCAAGGTGTTTAATCCTGTTTCACTTCTCAAGGAAATCTCACAGACCTCCTGGAGTTCTGGCATTGAGGTCACTTAGATTTCAGGCTTCACAGTTTCCATTTGTTTTCATGTCCCTGTATTTGTTCACCGGCTTCTAACTATAACCTAACAGGGAATAACCGTAGAATCATGGAGGTGGAAGGGAACTATTTTAGGCCATCCCACTTTCAGCACTTGCCTGTTCTGTGTAATAATCCAAATCAAAGTAACCCAAAGAGATGGCTGTTTAGCCTTCACTATGCATCTGATGAGGTTGCTATGCATAGATGTACCCAGTACCCTTGGTAATCCTTGGATCATTTCTATTCTGCAGCTGTGGAAGGATGCTGGAGGCCTTTCCTCTTGTTCCTTGAGCTGGCAGAAAACTCTTTGACCTCCCCCACATCTCTGTCCTGTTTCAATTCCCAGTCATACAATCACCTGACTTCTCTCCAAGGCAATGGATGATTGAATCTAACACCTTGAGGCTGCCCTTAGAAGGTGTCAGAGGTGGGGAGGGGAGGAAGAATGTAAAGCTGTAAAGCTAAGGATGACACAAATCTGTCTCATTCA